TTATTAATAATCGTTGCTCATGAATATTTTTATTTATTTATTTATTTATTTATTTGTTTGTTTTTTTTTTTTTTTTTTTTTTTTTGCCAACACATTATTCAAAGGCCGTTTCTACTCAGCGGCAAAATGAGAGACAAAAAGTGTGACAAGATCGTGAGGCTATGAGGCTCTATAGCATAAAAATCGATGGAACACAAAGAATTATGAGCCAAAGGATGAAGAAAGTAGACTCGGAAGAATTTCCTACTACCGTGACGTCAAAGACTAACGATATAATAATACGTACTTACAGAATAATATAAACATTAAAATGAACAATTACTTAGGGATCGGCAATGCAAATCGAAAATTGATTGCACATTCATGTTCAGGAATAATGTTAAAAAAATTCTCATAATAATTTATCTTTAAAATCATTTCTAATTGAAAAACAATATCAATTTAATACATATTACACATAATGAGTGACGTAGTATTGCAGTGACGTAGTATCATAGTGGCTCAGTGATAAAACTCAACATCCAATCATATTTTGCTTTTTTTTTTTTTATTTTTGCTGAACTTATTTGTAAATATAAGTCTTTCAATATTGAAAAGATATTATTGGAAATTCAACGTTAAGCCTTGGAGATGGACTTTTCATTATAATTGATAAATTCTCCAACGTTTGCTATAAAACTTTAAACATTATTTCTGCTTGCTTATCTTTGAGAAAACGAAAAAAATTTATCATTACATGTAAATACTTCAAAATAGTAACTAAATTTAGATATTGAAAACGGCGATGATTTTTTATTTTCTTCTTTTTTTTTCATTTTAAATGCACATGTATGCATATGCGTGCGCGCGTGCGTGTGGATACGTGCCTGTACGCACGCAAGCATATATTAACTATTTGCCACTTAATTAATTTTGTTTCATACTCGAAATAAGATAATTATATCAATACGTGAATAGATAGATGGTTTATCATTAATTTTAATGTACAAAAAAAAATAAAAAAAATAAAAAGAAAATATATTTCACATTGTATTTCTACAACACATATGTGAATTATTATTATTCGTGTGCATTGAAATTAATGAACAGAAAAAGTGTAAAAAAATAAAGAATAAAATAGCAACATTTTAATAGTTTGAGAATGGCTGAAATTCGGTTACTAAAATAACAAATTTTTAACATACCCGAATAAGATACAAAATAATATTAAAATGAATAATTTCAGATGTTATTTTCAAGACAACAATCTACTGGCAATTAAAAGTCGATGTAAAGTGCAGTATACCGGAAATGAAAATTCTTGACCCGAAATGATTTCATATTAATGATTTCTTCACCCCACTTAATCGAATGGCTAAATTGTAGTTGCTTAAAAGAGAAAACCAGATAAGATTATATTCCTATTATGACTATTCTCTTGAAAAAAAAAAAAAAAATATCAGAATTCTATACTCATCTGCTCATAGAGCTAAATGGATTATTTACCTCCTGTTAGAGTTGATTATTATGGATTGCTTTGCACGTCCAATGCTCGAGTATTTAACCGAATAAAATGCAGGAACGTACAGGATAATTAAAGTATTTATGTATACTTTTGCGTAAAAACAATAAGAACACTGAATGAAATTAGATATACATTTTTCCATAATATTATTAATTATATATCAGTTCAAATGAGAATTTTAATGAAATATAACTACAATTCTGCAATTACAATTGCAAGATAATATTGACATTGATAAAAATTAATTGTAAGGACGAGCTTTTATATAAATTGAAGGATAGAAAAATATAAGATTTCTAGTTTTTTTTTTTCTTTTTCTTTTCCTAAAGAATACTTTTCCAACGATCTAATAAAATTGCTTTAAATTTTCAAATTGCATCGTAATTTTATAGCGATTATTATTAATAACTATAATAGATAAAAAATAACTACACATTATAGTTGTATAATACATATTATCATATAATTGCTTTATTTTTCTTTTAAATCTTTCATGCATAGTACATTGGCTACTCTATTGAAATATATGTAGATATATATGTTTTACTTATTTAAATAAAAACCCAATAAAGACTAACAAGTTATATAAAATTATGTTTTAATGTAGTTAATAATGCCTAGGCAAAGATTGTATATACTTTAAAATTTATTATCCGTAAAAATTTGTCTAATATTTGAAAATATAATTACAAAAAACTGTACGGACTATTGACATTCTTTTCGTTTCTAGAAAAATCGCTTTTCAATCTCTTTTTCATCAATATATTTTCCTATATTATGTATTTTTATGATAATTAATAGTAGTTTGGTAGGATAAACGTATAGCTCAATAACTACTAGAATAGGCTTGTCGATGCTTTAATTTTTATTTTATTCAAAATCCATATATTATTTGCTTACATCAAAGGTTATCTATGAATTGAATAAATGAGCATGTGATAAACACTATACCGATGAATTTGATAAGACTTCCTTTTATCTCTGAAGAATAGTGGCGCTCTAAAAATCTAACCTTGACAAATATACATCAAACGTTTTAGATCTTAGCTTATAAATATGAATGAAGGAATTTTTAATAATTATAATGACTTTTTCTATATACCAATTGACCTGCATAATTTCACTTGTAATTAAGAATTAGATCTCATTTACTAAAATAATATTTGTATCTGAAATTATTTGTATTTGAATACTTTATGAAAATTGGCTTAACTGTTATAAAATATAGTTAAGATGCACAGTACTTTTTATAACATATAAATACAACAGTAAATAAACACACACACACACACACACACACACACGCACGCACGCACACACGCACACACACACACACATATATATATATATGTAAATCTCATATTTATTTAAAATTTTAAATATGCCTTTGTTATAGGATATTTACAAAACGAAAAGCGAATAAACCAAGACTTTTAGAAGTAAATCTATCTTCATTTCAAATATCTTAAACTTCTCACAATTTTCAATGAAATGATAAATAAGTTGATTTTTGTAGAATCACTATATGCTTATTTGTTCATATACGGTATAAATGAGATGCAAAGATATAAATAAATTGTTATCCCCTATTACGTGCTATTGTGTTATACTGATACATTATATTCTTTTGCAACACGATGTATAATCTAAATATAAAAATATTAGTTTAGAGAATAGAAAAAAAATATGCATAGTTGCATAATGAACACTAGAGAAACGTTAAATTTCTTGAAAAAAAAAAAAAAAAAAAAATATATATATATATATATAGTGACAAGGCATTTGTTTTAACATTATAGAGATATACTTCTATTATAATTATATACAAATATCATTCCAGATTAATTATAATTATAAAGTGGCGATTCGTCAATAAAATGCCCTAATACTCCGAAGGCTTATCATAGAGGCGATAATCTTTAGTTTAGAGAAAAACTATATTTATTATCCTTTAATATTATTACACAAATTGTAGAGATAACAATTTCTTATTAAATTTTCAAATGCCGAATGAAGTATATTCTTCCAATTAAAAGAAATATTATTAATTAAATATAATAAAAATTATTTTTATGAATAAATCTTAAATTCGTATAATCCGTATTTGAGATGTTACTTACATTTCGAGAATTGTTTCATTAATATTTTTATTATTTAAAATTCTAATATTTACATTTCATAATTAATATTACATAAATAGTCTCCAATCCAGTATAGTTATTTTAATGAATTTTTTATTAAGAATTTTTAGTTATTTTAAATGTTACATTAAAACACTCATTTAAAATCTAATGATTTTCTATCGCATCAGTGATTAATTTCGTATAATTTATTACAAACTCTTTTATTATAAATTATTATATTCAAAAGCAGTATTTACTATAAATTTACTCGTGAAAATTAACTTTTAACATTTTAACGCGTTGTTTTGTAGTAATCGAATTGAAGTCATTATAAATTATCTCAAATAACTTTATCTATTTATATTCAAATATTTAAAAATTTTCCAATTATTATATATTCTTATAATCTGTATATGTGGTGCGAGAGTGTGTGTATATTTCCTTATAATTATAACTTTTCATCTGTTATGTATAATTTTAATAGTATAAGCAGTTGTTTTAATTCTGTTATAATTTAATTAACAATTAGTAGTTTTAATATGTTTTATATTTTAGATTAACACAACTATTTGTTTTATCATTTCGTTGCTATTTTTTTTTTTTTTTTTTTTTTTTTTTTTTTTTTTTATCAGAATTTATTCAAATTAAATAGTTTAATTAAAGGTAAATTTAAAAATGTAACTATAATCTCTGAAAGACTGAACTACAATTTTGGACATTTTTATTAAAACATGAATTTATGTTTTAAATTATATAAACTTTACGTAATTGCATTTATATAATATATATGCTAAATTAAGATAAGTAAATTTTTTACCCTGATAATATACTTATGTTATCTAGTAAATAATATTGATGCAATATTAATTATTCAGCATATTCTCAAATAAGGCGATGATAATATTCTAAATAAATCATTTGAAATTTTTAGAATAACAAATTAAAAAATATGATATTATTCGTATATTGAAATATTTCATTTAAATTCAAACATTGATTTAATCTTTTTTATGAAACAAATATTCCTACATCAGTTTAAACATCACTTTAAACTCATATAATTAAATTTACATTTAAAAATCGAAAAGCAATGTAATGTAGCAATGATATATGAGAAATAACATTTAATTATTTTGATAAATATGTATGGCATTTTTGTTAGGCCAATTTCTGTAAATTTCTTATTTCTGTAAATCTTATACATTTGTCATACCATGATAATTGTAATTAAAAATATAATAATAATAATAATAATAAATTTTTTTATATATTTTAATTACATGATGTGTAAATTAAAAGTTGTATTATGTTTCATCTACATATTTATAAGAATTGTTTCTGTAAAAAAAATTTAAATCGATATTGTTTCATCATTTAATAACTTTAATTTTGTACATTAATAATGCCAGCATTGTTAATTATCTCTTCAAATGAGGTAGAAAATTTTTTGTTTAAATTATTTCATGTTGATTGTAGCGAAAGTTTCAAATAAATAGGAAGTTTCACTTTCCAATTGTCAATGCAGCAGTACACATTTACTGCATGGTTGGCATAGTTGTTGCAGTTGAAATATCAGTAGCATCTCCGGCACGCCACAGTTGCGTAATGGTTTTTGTTTGTGTATGGAAATTAATTCCCTAATGTGATAAACAAAAATACGGCATTTTAATAATAAAATTTCAATTATATATTAATACAAGTATAATTTAAATTGTAAGATATTTTCGAGTTAATTAGGAAAATAAGAACATCTCATTACGAATGTAAGCGAATTTTAGGGAAATAGTATAATGACTGTAAATAATACGTATTAAAAAGGTAATTTGCTAAAAAAAAAATAACAACAATAGTTATACAGATAAATAATGAAAAATTTTTTTAGAAACTTTGAAAAACTTTACTTCTGTTTCCGCAATCTTCCATTATGATTATGACTAAATTGCATTAATTTATAAAACAAATTTTTATTCAATTAAAGAAGAAGATTTAAGAAAAAATTTATTTAATCTATGTTTAAATTACTTAACTAATCATTCTATAATAAGTGCGAAACAATGTTTATGTCGTAAATAAAATTAAGAATATTGATGATAGTCTTACGGATTTGCCATAAAAGTTGTTATCGCCGAAAAAGGATTTTTTATTTCCAGTGAAGCTAAACATTGGTAATGGAACTGGAATGGGAACATTAATGCCTATTTGCCCAGCTTCAATGAGTTCGGTAAAACGTCTTGCAGTAGCTCCATTTGTTGTAAAAATGGCCGTTCCATTTCCATATGGATTATTATTTATTAATTGTATAGCTTCGTCTAACGAGCCAGCTTCCATGCATAATAAAACAGGTCCAAATATTTCTTCCTTATAACATCTCATATGAGGCTACGAATAAGAATTTAAGCGTTAATTTCTACCTTACATTGTGCACATAAATTATATAAATTACTGTTAGTGGATTAAAATTAAAGATATTCTATTGATGTATCGTTTATAATGTGAATGGAATACTAATTTTTCATGAAAGAAATTGTAATATATATTTCTTTACTATCGAGCATAAAATATATATGTGGTAAAATATTTGTTGTAATTGTTTGCGGAAATGGAATCATGAAGGTCTTAAAAAAAAAAAAAAAAAAAAAAAAAAAAACAAAATTCTGTGTTGATTCTCTTGTGTATTTTTTGGACTTTTCACGCTAATCAAATAAAACTGAAAATAATTAATATATATAATATGTCCGACAAAATTTACCGACAAAATTGGCGATAAGATAAATAAATTATAAGTCAACTCAACTTTCTGTCCACGAATATAAATAAAAGTGAAAAATTAGAATCACCTGGACTCGCGTGATAACAGTAGGTCCGACGAAATTTCCATTCTCGTAACCAGGAACTTTGATTGCGCGACCATCGAGCGGTAGTCCAGCACCATCATTTACACCAGACTCGACCAATTCTAAAATTCGACTTTTTGATTGCGGAGATATAACGGGTCCGAAATCAGCACTCGGCACATGACCAGCGTTGACATTGAGACGTTTAGCAGCTTCTACAATATCGGTAATCCAATGCTTGGAGTTGCCGACGAAAACGGCGACTGATAATGCCATGCATCGCTGACCGGCAGCACCAAACGCTGCACCGACAATCTGCGAAATACTTTTGTTCTTGTTTGCGTCGGGCATAACTATACAATGGTTCTTTGCTCCATTATTGCATTGAACGCGCTTTCCACGTGCGCTACTTCTCTCGTATATATATTTTCCCTGGGAAGAAAAAGATATTTTAACACCTTCATTGTTACCACACTCATTGTTACCTAAAATTGTAATATTGACAATATGTACATGAAAATAGATTGTTCACTTATTTCTCAGAAGAAGAAGAAAAAGTTTACAACAAACGATTAAGTAAAAATAGTTGTTTAAATTAAGAGCAGCACTCTTTGGGGGAGGAGGGGGGGGGAAGAGAGTGGAACATCTGTTTTATTTGTAGTTCGACATATTTCAATTGAATCAATATAAAGCAAACTTTGATTTATAAATTTAAAAATATCATACTAATAATAGAAATTTATATTCTTGATTATAATCTGAATTATAATAGATAATATTAAATGAATAATAATTATATTTTAATGATAAACGATTCAAAATTTTTAATAAATAGATTTTCAAATGTTTTTAATTTATCATAGACATATGTCGTTCTTAATTTTACCAAAGTTTTACAAATCATGATTAATCTACGTCCTCCGTATAATTTTATTATATCACGATGAATTATATCAATGATGTATTTTAATATCAATCATTTTTTACTCTAATATAAATATCATATGAATTTTCAAATAAATAGAAAATCTAAAGAAAAATAAAAACATTCATTACATAAAATTAGTACCTTTTAAATCACATATTATTTATGGGCGCGCGCGCATGGACACACACGCGACACACACACGAAGACTCGTATAATTTAGAAAATTATATATATATATATATATATATATATATATGATTTAATTTACTCCAACATAATTAACGTAGAAACTATGTTTTGTACAATCATTTGTAAATTTGATTTACCCATAAATAGCAAATCTTATCTGATTTAATAAGTTCTCAAAGATTAGCCAAGTCCATCAAGATCTATTCATTTATAAAAATAAATAAGTAGTGATAAAATTGTAATACAAAGTAATTTTCGAAATATTTTTATTATTAATTAATTTAGTTAGCTTGTTTTTTTTTTTTTAGTATTCACGACCGTTCCTAATGATCACGTATTCAATCATGTGACGTATTCAATTTCCAAATGATATTCCGGTCAATTCTTATTTTTACCACGAGCTTTAAACAAATACATTTACATCCATTTTCGATGTACTCACCGCGATTTCACAATGCGTATACTGTAGGGTTTTATAATTGTTTATCTCGAAACGTATGAAATTTAAGTAATTCGTATTTAAAACAATACGAAACTCATGAAAGTGAAACTTTATCTCGACATTACAAGCTTCTATTACTATATATATTTATATCAACATTATTGTCATTAACATGATGGAATAAACTAGTTAAAACTGAAACGAATATAATAATTATTTAACCATATGCTCGAGAATATACGTACAGCTTGATCTGAACCAACGAAAGATACAGCTTTGATATCCGGATGATCACAGATGAAGTTAACGGCCTCGCGTTGACCGTGGATGACGTTAAGAAGACCTGGTGGTGCGCCAGCTTTGCTGAAGAGGTCAGCGAGTATCATCGAAGCACCGGGCACCCTTTCCGAGGGCTTGACAATAGTGGCGTTCCCGCATGCTATACTGATGGGAAATGTCCAGAGTGGAACCATTGCGGGAAAATTGAAGGGACAGATGGAACCCGTCACACCAAGTGGTACTTTGTAGGAAATCGTATCCATGTCCGTGGCAATATTATTCATAGACTCACCCAGTAAAAAATTTGGAATACCAGCACACATATCGATAATTTCTGCTCGATTCATCATTATACATTAGTAATTAATAAAATTTAAGTTATTAGTTATTAGCATAAATTTTTATTGACTTGGTAGATACCAACACCGATTATTCTTTATTAATAAACGATCAGTTTCATTTAAAATATTATTTCCAACAGCGATATGTCAAATAAATGAGACTAATCAATAAAATGATTATTATTTTTTAACCTTTCTTTTTTTTTTTTTTTTTTTTTTTTTTTTTTTTTTTTTTTTTTTTTTTTACAAATTAAAGTATCTAAATATTTGGGGCATATTTCAATCGATAGCGGTAGAAAATGAAAATTATAAAGCGTTTATGAAAATATATAGATTCATTTATTCAAGTCAAAGTCTATTATATAATGAATGTTTATAATCGTGCATAAGTTTAGAGAGAGCATTTCTATATTTCAAGTTTACGTTACGATTAATCATACATTTTCAATTATCCGATCGTACAATTAATTGAAAACGGAAACTTCCTAGCGCAAATTTTTAATAACAAACTGTACATAATATCTTTCAAGTGAAATAATTAACGTAAAAAATTGCACGAGTGTAGACTGTGTAATATTATAAAAGAGATAATAAGAAACTTACGTAGGCCTCGCAATACGTCTCCTTCAGCGTCAGCCATCGTCTTTCCATTCTCTTGCACCAGGTTAGCCGCAAGATCTTTCTACCGATAAAATGATGCAGTTACAGCTAGAATTTAGTTGCTACGAGCGAGATAAAAGCAAGGCGAGAAATTACAATAATTATTGTAAATTGCTGACCGAATGTTCGCGTATAAGTCCCTGGTACCTGAGCATGAGCGTCTGTCTCGTTAAGACACTACTATGCCGCCAGGTACTGAAGGCTTTCTTAGCACTAGTCACAGCATCCTCCATTTCAGTTAATGTGCTCTTTGGTGTACAGCATATCAGCTTATTAGTTGCTGGATCATGCACCTCCGTGTACTCCGTACTTTTCGAATCTATAATCAACGACTTAATGATTACCCACCGATAATTCTGACATTCGACTGCAGAAGTAACTTGTAATTCTTACCATTGCCCGAATACATACGACACTCGGCATTACTTTTTCATTTAAAAAATCTTTACACTTCTATTGTTAATTGTTAATTGTTTATCATATGCCGTATAATAAATAGGAGAAAATTTTAATTACATTTAACATAGATGATAGAATGGGTATAATAATTATTTGCCAACGACATTCAATGTCGAATGCTTCTATTTTAGTACGAGATTCATATAACAATTTTATTAACAAAAAGAAATGAGAGAAAGAAGAAATCCAATATTTAAAATTATAAACATAAATAAATTTTATAGTTCGAAAGACTCTGTAAATCTGACAGCGAAAGAAAAACTTTTCAATTTACATTGTATTTCATTTACAAACTTTGTACCTCAAAGAATTTAAATTATTCTGCTTGTAAAAATATTTAAATTTATACTAAAATCAAATTCACAGGGCATTCGCGTTACCAGTTCCAAACTATTGTTCGAAACTTTAAAATACGATTTACTAAAATACCATTTCAATCACATATAACAATCTTATTCAGAAAAAAGAAGTTCGTTTAATAATGGAATATCTACATATATATGTTAAATTAATATTTAAATTGCATTTTATTACTCTATTATAATTTCAAATAGACGTATCACCAATGCATATGTAAAATATAACAACTACATTTGATAATACAATAAAGTAAATCATATATTTGTAAAAGTTATTTGGAACATTATATATAACAATGCTCTTTTCTTATTAGTTTCTCTAAAAATTATTTTACATACTTTTCCGTTGCGTATACCAAGTACGTTGATATTTACTATTCAGTATTTTGTACCCACGAGCGTGAATAAATCAATAATAATTATATTCAAAACTTAGCTTTATGCCCAATTTTATTTTGGAAGCCATGTATGAAAAAGATTTAGATAATAAAAATAAATTGTGACGCTTTCAAGGTTTAACTTTTATCATCAACCATATTGTAGAAAAAAATTTAAATTTTCGCACGAGAATATTCAATATTATATGTAATTCATACATACATTTTTACTCTAACTAAAGACACTTTGTTTTCTTAGCAAAATTATTATTAGCAAATCAAAAAACTTTTTTCTTAATTAATTTAAATATATTTCCATACATGATGAAGAAAAAATAAAATATATGAATAATTCAGGATCGATAAAACTTAAATGTAGATTTAGTAAAAAAAAAAAAAAAAAAAAAAAAACTTCATTTCCTTTGCTTACTGCTTTTACGATACACTTTTGGACTACAATTAAATAAAATGCAAAACGAAATAATAAATTATTTAATTTTCTTGTTATAAAACGAATAAATTCTCGATATCTGGTATAAATTTTATTTCATATATATATATATATATATATACTTTATTTCATAAATATGCATTAGAGCATAGAAAGAATATAAAATTTTAATATTTAATTTATTTTTTAGAATAGAGGATAAAAAAAATGCAACTATAATAAAAAGTTGATGTTAAAAAAAAAAAAGAAATATTCATATACTTTACCAACAAATTGTCCATCGATGAACATTTTGACAATCGGAACCGACGAACTGTATGACCTTGTTAATCCTATTTTCTATTAAAAAAAAAAAAGAAACAAAAAAAAAAAAAAAAAAAAAAAAAAAAAAAAAAAGAAAATATATTAAAAAATATATTAGAGTGATGAAATAAGAATAAAAATTGGAAAAGTTTTTATTAAATTGACATTTTAAATAATTCTCAAACAATATGTAATACAAAATTCTTTGTATTATATTTTATTATATTTTTATAGAAAAATTAAAAGAAAAACATTATTATTGTAACATCACACTGATATTGATTATGAAAAAAAGAAAATTTTTTATTCATAAACTATTTTAAATTATCAATGTCTATAGAGATTGAAAGCCTAAATAAATATTGAAATCCATGAATGATAATTTTTATTCTATTTAAATTGAAAATATTTTCATTCCTAATAATACGAAAAATAATTAATAATTATTAATTTACCTTTAAATTATTAATTATTAATAATTACTATCTATATTGATTTCATTAAAAATTTATATTTTCCACTGCTTCCAAATATTTTAATCTTGTCTTTTCATTTTTTTTTTTTTTTTTTTTTTTTTTTTTTTTAACAACAATTACTCGAATAAGAGTTATTTGCTAAGTATTATTAAGCAATGACGTTGAGATTTTGAACTTTTAGCTCAATATGCATAATATTATAGCATGATGATTGTAATACATAATACAAGTTTTATATTTGAAAAGAAAAACAGAAGAAAATAATTAAAGGTTAAATTAAGTGAAATATATAAAATTGGAATGTCGAAATACTAAATAAACATTATATGATTTCATTGAATCGTAGGTTATTGTAATTATCGCGTATACTAATTTTAATTGTACATAAATAGATTATTGTCAATCCTATGATCTTTCCAACGCAGATTTATCCACAAATACAATTCGAATATAAACACTATCAGATGTTTTGTGCTCGGCCAATATACCGCATAAGCGAAACAAGCTTTTTCTCCTCACACTGATTCACACAATTCACACATCACAATGTGTAGACAAACAAATACATCGGTTAGCAATATCTTTAATTCAACGGATTCAACGCAAACTCGAATTCATTTATCGATAGGTACATATTGCCAACAGAATTACGTAATCGTTATGTTTTACGGCCACTTTAGCTGGCTCTTTAGCTTTTTAACTGTGAAAAACTATAAATAAAATCTATCATGCTTCTTCGATTAATAGTGTTATATTAAAAGTCTATACTATCAATTACGATCGAATATATATTTTAAAGATATTGTATTAGAATAAAAAAATACGGAAAATTCAGAATATAAAAGAATTCTTTTCCTGAATCTGCTACAATAGAAAATAATTATTATTATAAATACAACGTGATATTGCAAATATTATTGCGTATGAGAATAAACTGAAGTCATACCATAATCTCAAATATTTTGCTTAGATTAATATTAAATGATACCGTTTTTTTTTCTTTTCTTTTTTGCGGAATAATACGTGACACTCATCACCTTCAATTTTACGTGATAATTTGAAATGATTACGTAGTAATGAACAGGTTGAAAATAAAGAAAGATTGATCAAATAGAATTTAGATAAAGAATCAAAGTATAAGTTATAAATTTACTCTCATATGTATATATATATATATTTATTATGGAATAAGCAACAAAGTAAATGCAAAAGACATTTTTTAATGTTTATTTTTCCTCCGTCAAATACAATCGTCATTTTCATAAACTTTGGAATAAATTTTCTAAATATTATAACAATAAATTATATAAAATCCATAGATAAAAATAATTCATATTTATTGTGAAAAAAAAAAAACTACGTGATACTTCAAGCGAAAAAATCGTTTTGTTTTGTTGTTTTTTATTTTATTTATTTATTTATTTTTTTTTTTTTTTGGTTTTTTTTTCATACGACGTTGATGCAGAGCATTCAAATAAGATGTGAGACACCACCCATTGACTAAGTGACTTTTTTCTATAATAATTATACAATATATTATAGTTCATTAATGGATATTGAAATAAAATTGGAAAGTAAAAACAATTTGTATATTTGAATGACGCGAATATAAGTATAAAGTCGATAAATTCTCTTTATAAAAATTATTTTCAAAATTTGTACAATAATTTTTCAACTTCAAATGTAATAATTAACATTTCGACAATTATAAATAACGAAATTTAGTAGTTGAACGTACTCGGGCAATTTTATCAATACACTAAAAAATCTTATCCACTTAAACGTACGTACGTATGTTTTATCCATTACAAATTTATTAAGCTACTTTAGATAAAAATTAAATACTCACTGAGCAAAATATTTCTCTGAATAATCGAGACTACGTAATATATATTTTGAATAATACTTATACCAGATAAACTTTTACGAGCCCATATATTTCGATTTATGGGCATACGCGCCTATATAGTAGAATAAATAAATATCAATACAAAACTGTGATGAATTTAAAATGGGCTTTCCCTCTTCAAAGGCTGAATATATATTGGAAAATTGAGAGTAGCTTGTGTATCTGTAAAAGGCGCATTTAATTCAGCTGTGATAGCTCACATTATTCACAACGATCACGTTGAACGAAAAAAAAAAGAAAAAAAAGGAAAAAAAAAAAAAAAAAAAAGTCAACATTAATGGGAAAATTTCATAGAGTAACGCATGGATTATTGCTAAAATGAAAAATATTCTGAGCCAAGCTCTCTATGTAACTTAATCGTCTTACGGCGAGAGTCTGCACTGTTAGCCATATTTATCTTAGACATTAATTTCAGTTGCAATAAGAGCAAGCAAATAGAGGAGAATTGAATTAGTCGATTGGGCCAATCGTGAAAACGTGAAAACGGGCCTATGCTCGGCTATTAATGAAACATTGGAGCGATGATGGTGTAAGGGTCGGAATAATGGCCGAGCAAAGTGGGAGAAATGGCAGAATCTAGGATGATGAGGCGTTGCCGAGCATGAATATATTATTCGTACCTCGCATCTCGCTGCGATATTTATCAGTTGCGCCATTGTGACGATCTGCTAGGAGGCGATGAACTGCTGGAGGAGGCACGTCAAAGATGAGTCGTCCGAGCGAACGACTGATCGGGAACTGGAGACTGGAGTTAACCTTGTCGACGACTCACCGATTGATACCGACAACAAACGCATGTTTTCTCGACGGCTCGTACGGCCACGAATCCGGCGCCGCTCCGATCCGACTCCCCGGGGACTTGGGAATATCGAGTCCGGCTTGTTTGCGAGGAGATTCTTCAAAACCAGCTTACATCTGCAATTTTATGCATCGATTGTCATTACTCTTTAGCCGCTTAGGAGGGCCAAAGATCGACCAGATTCTCTTGTTCTATTATCCCGAAATTCATTATTAGGTGGATAAGCAGTTTTCCATGAGAAGACGTCGACGCCTTGGCCCAACCTCGTGTCCTTCGTTTCTCAAGACAATAATTACATTATTTAATCGAGCTTTATCGTTTTAATTACTCCTCGATATCCTCCTCCTCCTCGATATCCTCCTCATATAACTATTGTATATAATATTCAATATTATAATAATAATAATTTGAATTTGTCGTTACTGACGAACTAACTATCTTCTGTATTACGTGTAAATTTAGGCGAATAATGTATTTTGATAAATTTTTATTAACATTGAAATTAAATATACTTAAAACATAACTCTTAAAATTAAAATAATAAATTATAATAAATAATAAAATTAATATCAAATAAATATTAATATTATATTGTTTATTGGCTTTAACTTGCATACGGCATATAATTCAACTTTTACATAATATATTCTGACAAATTGAAGAAAAAGTCGTATTATTATTTTTGTATTTGATTAAATTTTTATTTCACGTAAGCACATCTATGCAAACATTCGTTTTTCTTATTTATATTAAAGCCCCTACGATTAAAATGATAAATATGAAAAGTAAGCTCTGTAATAATGAAATTCCATCGTTCGACCTATATTCTACAAATATAATGTATTCTCCAAATAATCAATATATATATTACATAATCGAATTAATAAAAAAAAAAAAAAAAAAAAAAAAAAAAAAAAAAAAAGTTAATTAATCAGAAATATATTATATAATAGACAGATTTTTATCAATTTTATTTTATAAAATAGCTCACTCGTAAACATACATTTTTTCTACATATATTTCTCGAGAACATGACAAATGGATATTATGCAGATCTAAACAAATTGAAATTTGAAATTGATTTTATGCAATTGCATTATCCAAAATTATTGTAGCTCATACTATTTAAATTGCAAAATTGCAAAATCGTAAAACTAAGGCAACTCTTGGATGTAAATCAAAAAATGCAGGTCAACGATGCAATAATGCCATTTATAGAGTAAACTCAGTACACGCAGATACTTAGTATGCTTTATAAAATTATAACAATTTACTTGTAATTGTTATTTTGAAAAATTTACGTTATAGATTATGTTAGTTTGAGAAGCTGTTCTTTCTAAAGAAAACATTAAACCATTAAAATAACAAAGAAAATTAAAAATCTACAGACATATATAACTTATTTATTTATATTTATGTATTTATTAAGGCAGTGCGAGAGAGAGAGAGAGAGAGAGAGAGAGAGAGAGAGAGAGAGAGAGAGAGGGAGAATATATTAAGCATGCGATTGTTTTACCGAATATAATATGACAGATAAGGTGAATATCTCAATACTTGATCGGTAAAACAGTACATTAATAAAATTTAAAATGGCTAAATCTAATTGACTCTACCCAATAATTGTTAATATTTAACTTTACACGTAAACTTTCATACTCTTTACAATTTTTTTCTTTATACTTGCATGTACGCAACAAATATATCACACATTTATACGTGATTATTTATATACGAGACAGCAAAAGCCATAAATAATAAATATACAAATGCATAATACGCTCGTTTAATTCTATTTTATAGAAATTGATTTTTCATTTATCGTAAAGTCTATCTGCTACAAGATTTAATAAGTTCTTTGATGTGGATTTATTAAATGGAATTTATTATTAAACAATGAATTCTTTACTATAACTATAAACTTTATAAGAAATTTAAAATCTTTAAAATCTGCTATACGTAAGAATTTTCTATGCATTTTCCAATCATTAAATAAGCTAACGACTCAAGGCAATTTAACGTAAAAAAATGTTTTTACGATTTTTATTATGTAAATGAGTTTGTTTTTAAATCTATATTTTTGATGTTTTTTATTTTTTTATGTTGAATTGTACATATTTTTGGGCTGGCAAGACATATAGTTCCGAATATTTTCATTTTTTCAAAGTTTGAGCAAAATTTGTAACGTTTAAAATATCTTTAGTCGACTCGAAAGTGTTTCATATCGACTATAAAATTTTCAATTGAAATATATTATTTATATATATATATATATATATATATATACATTCTTGATTTTTATTAATATTTAGTTACATAAAACGAAATCTTTTTAAAACCCGTAAAATGAAAATTACATATAAATTAAAATTATTTTTTTTTACATCACCATTGGAATATATATTGCGAAATCTGTCGTTTTATGCGAATATTTTGCCAATCGAGAAACTGTTTTATTGATATTAAACGGTATCCCCAATAGATGACACTACCTACAACTTATGCAAACTTTTTTTTTACAATAAGTATTAATAGCTTCAATAATCATATCTATAATTTATAGTTCATAAATGTGTAAAATTCATATAATAAAATATATAAGTTAAGTAATTTTGTCAAATTACATCTTTTTTGCGAGAACAAATTCTAATTTTAACGATATGATTTAAAATTATATGTATTCGATTGGACTTTGAATTTATTTTGTTTATTTATAAATATTACAGTATCTAGAAAATAACTCATATATAGGAAATAATAAATGTATAATTTAATTTTATAGATTATGGTAGAAAAATACAGACGAATATTTTTTATCGACAAATCTTGGGAATTATTAATAAGAAGAGATACAGATTTAT